AATATTATTGCATTCATACCTGGAGAATTCCAGCATGGTCACCTTTAGAATGTTCACTAGCAGGAACAGCCCAAGTTCCAGGCCAATGGGTTCCATCAGCCATCCATGTTGCCTTCTGGACTTTCACTCGCTCAAGAGGGTCACCTCCACTTTCTCTTAGGTGTTTCAGCATTTTGACTTCCTCCCTGGTGTTGAAGGCATCGGATCTCCGTCTAATCGAATCAGGTAGCCCATTGATCCTCACCTTGAACTCATCATACTCCCTCTTTATCTTTCTCCTATCCTTAACAAAATCTGGTCTACTCTTGTTCTTTGTCGGATCAACTTTTAGGCTAAAGTAGGTATCAGGATTTCGAGGTTCAATATTATGTTTCCTGCAAAATGGGACCCATAAGTCAGCAAAACTCGCCGCCTCTGCCATTGCTTCAAATGTAAGAAGGGCACCACCGTCATCCGAAATGTAACACGATATCTTCTCAACGGGGTAATCCACTGCTAGAATTGAAAGGATGGTATTTGCAGTTACAAGTGGTGGTTCCTTTTCCGGATCAGCTGTGGATACAAAGAGGTCAACCCCGGGGAGGTCTGAGCGGCCAGTGGGATTGGAGGGTGATGGCATTTCAAACTTCTCTCGGAGGACTTGAAGGTCTGTGGAACGGTTAACAGGGCAGAGCTTGGGAACTTGATCTAGGATCCAGGAGAAGGCAAACCATACTTCACACACAACAGACATAAGCCATAACCAGATTGCATCCTCATTTGGGTGCATCACTCTCCAATGCAAGAAGAACCCCATCACCACCAATCGAATCACAATTAGCAACCTGCGTACAATAATTTATCAGATCAGAAAAGTTGCTCACTTTGATTTCATAGATTCATACATCAATTGAATTCAATCGTCTAAATTTAAATGAATATTCTAAACTGTTACTTAGTTATCATGTATTTTTTTTTTTTTTTAGATTTATAAAAGGTATAAGAATTTGGTGGGCAGAAACGGGTAGCTCTCATATCATCTTTACAAAACTTGGGTTTAAACCTTATTTTTTTACAACACTAAAAGTTAGTTGTTTGACATTAGGGGAGTTTAATTGAACCCCCAACTTTGCCCTCTTTTTTATGTTAGTGGCCGGGTTAATTATTTTATAAGGGTTCAAACCCTCTATAAAAACTAAATTACATGTTACCTGTAAGGGCTAATGATGGCTGCTGGAATCGGAGTCACCCGACTCAATGGCTTCCAAGGCTTATCATTGCTCTCCAGCATGCCACCATGGGCGCCTTCACCTCCATCATCACCGTAGACATCATCTTGGGGAGGCCAATAAGCATTTCCATAGCCATAAGTACCTTTGGACTCAAACAACCATTTGTTAGGATCAAAGTCTCCACCTTGATTTCTTGTAGTCATAGACATGCTATTAGCATCTCTTTTACCACCACCAGGAGCTGGCAACTGCAATGCTCCATTGGAGTAGTCTTGCTCGTCATCATAATCTCCAACTTTGTATGGCTCCTTGCAACCTGGACAAAGTCCTTTCTCTTTTAGGGCATCCATGTAGCAATCTCTACAGATTTTGAACCTGGAAAAGACATTTCATCTATGTTGAATTATGCAACCTTTTTCATGGATAAAATAATTAGGATTGCATCTCATTTTGAAAAGAGAGGAATCCTTACATGCAAATTCTGAAAATTTAGCGTATCATTCTGTATCTCTCAAGTTAATGGGTCTTAGTTAAGCTCAATTAAATGATCTAATTAAGACAATAATGGAGGGCTAAGGAGATAAAGAGTTATTTTTATTATATAGCCAATTTAGATTAGGGGTAAGTATTAAGTCATACTTGATACTTGATATAAAAAATTTTAAGTACAATTTTTCAGATTTGGTACTTATTCAAATATAAAAACCTATATTTACTATATAACCTGATGGTTATAAGATAACTTGTGAGTATACTCTATACTTATTAAATAATATTTTACATTGAATTTCTATACAAATTAAAATATAATTAAATATCTAAAATAAGATATAAACTTAAATAAAATTAATAAAAATTCAATAAAATATTGTTTATTATTATTCAAACTTAAATATAATCCAAAATAATAATAGAAGACCAAAAGTTGGTTTAATAACCTCCCTTTCATCTGTATTTTTTTTTCTCAAGAAAAATCGAATAAAAAAAAGGCAAAAATATGACATAAGGACCCGAACTTACACCAAATTCGCAATTTCGGACCCAAACTTCAATTGCGCTCAATGAAGGTCCTGAACTCCACCAAATTCTCAAAAAAGAACCCAATTGGACGGAAAACTAACTTCCGGGTTAAATCTCCTATTATTCCGTTAATGTTCCGTCACATTTCAC